AGCTGAAGGAACTAGGAATGTTGTTCTTTTCTGCTCTCACTGGGCCAAGCCATGGTGGAGACTGTAACAGTACAGGAACCGCTCCAGACCATCGCACACCCATGCAACCCTGACCTGCAGCAACAGCACACGGGCAACCCGCACCTTTGTCCTGGTGCCTCAGGAATGATTTAAGGACTAAGGTGAAATAATTTCACTGGAATTTCTGGCAGGTAGCCACTTCCCTGGGGTGAAATTTCAATCACCAAAGCTACACCTATAAAATCTGCTTCTGCAAAACAGAGACACAGCCATCCAGCAGGGCATGGGCACACTGCTGCTCATCCGAGTCTCAGAGAGCCAAGGTGGGGTGTTCCATGAAATCTAGACACAACCCTCCACCCAGACTCCCACGTGTGTGACCAGCCCCACTCTGGTGAGAGCTAGCATCAACCAGCACACAGCCGCTCTTTAAATGTCAAGCTCACAAATATGTTTAATGAACTTGATACCGGAAGGGAGGAACTCTTTTATACTTTCACAATAACTCTTCCTGAAATACATTAGCTTTACATGAACTTGAAGAATCTGCAAGATCTAGAAAAATAATAATACTGTAAGAATAGCCCTACTGTGTCTTTTTGCTCAGCAGCCTCGTGTCCCCTGTATGTTTTTGCAGTCAGAAAGGCCACACATGGAAATGCCAGGGCCTCCCAAAAACTGCAAAGCAGCTGGAGAGAAACACCGTCCAGGCACCTAGGACCAGTGCTTCTACCTAAGGAAGCTCCTTTCATACCAAGGCTTGCAAACAGCTTTAACAACTGTCATTTGGAGAAGGAACTCATGTACCAAATTAATGATCTACCAAAGCAGAGATCAGCCTTGTCCACAGTAGATGCTCAACAGGGATGTTTACTCAACAATCTTATTTAAAATGAATCTGCAGGCCAGGCACGGTGGTTCATGCCTATAATCCCAGCACTTTGGGAGACCAAGGCCTGTGGATCACCTGAGATCAGGAGTTTGAGACCAGCCTAACCACCATGGTGAAACCCCGTCTCTACTAACATACAAAAATTAGCCGGGCATGGTGGCACATGCCTGTAATCCCAGCTACTTGGGAGGCTGATGCAGGAGAATCGCTTGAACCCAGGAAGCAGAGGTTGCAGTGAGCCGAGATCGCGCCATCGCACTCCAGCCTGGGCAACAAGAGCAAAACTCCATCTCAATCAATCAATCAATCAAATGAATCTGCAAGCCAAGGACACGTAAGTTTCCTTGAACTTTATATACCTTAGAGGTATATGAAGAATGGGCTTAAAGTCAACTAATAGAGACCTGTGGTATAAGCTTCCAATGGCATTCGAAATGAATGACACTAAACCACCTGTAAAGGAAACAATTTAACCTCAATGATAGGTACGGTTCCTTTGGCTCTGACATTCTCAGACCTTCTGATGTAATAGGTACGATGAGAATGACGTTCTCCTGGTCATTAAATACTAAGAATGAGCTGATTAAAGGAACAGTAAGACCCAGCCACAATCAATCAATCAATAAAATCCCATCACCAGCGTGTAGCATACCTACTCATTATTTTCTACACTATAATAGTTATTGCATATTAATAATAATATTAAGTAAGAATTTTACTTGAAGACAACAGAAGTCTTTTAAGATGCGATGGGTTAAAGAGAGATTTATAAAAGCACAGAAACTTCCCTCAAAGGACTTCAACACAGCCTTTATCATTCCCATCCCACAGCGAAGTTATCACTCTTTCTCTGGGCCCCTTCTTTGTGACAGATATGTGCTTCCAACATCAGTATGTTTCTGTACTGAAAAATATTCCAACAAGAGTAGGGCACCTAGAGGGGAGACCTGGAGTTGTCTTCAGCCTCTGGGGTAGGCACTCAAGCGTTTATTGGATGGATGGATGGATGGATGGATGGATGGATGGATGGGTAGGTGGATGGATGGATGGATGGATGGATGGATAGGTGGATGGATGGATGGATGGATGGATGGATGGATGGATGGATGGGTAGGTGGATGGATGGATGGATGGATGGATGG